ATCCGGGTAACTGAACAGGATATTCCGAACTGAATCTTTCATTTGAGTAGACTGACCTCGTTCCACTGCGCATGTCTAATGTTATCTCGTCTCGTTCTCGTTCTTATTTTTATTTGAGCTTTACTTAAAAGCTCGACGAGATATCATTGCTCGCCTTTGTTTCCACCAAATCCAAGTACTCGCTGCCTTGTGGATTAAAGCATGAATTCGGTGACAGTAATTGTGAGTTCAATCCCTGAACAAGGCTGTGTGTACTTGGACTCAGTGGAAAAATGGTGAGCAATAACTGAGCAGTAATGAAAATAAAAACTAGACGAGATATCCCTACTCATGGGAAGTGGAACGAGAACTGCCTAACCCCGTAGATTAAATAAAGGGTTTAGTTCGGAATTCCATGTAGGTTAACAGGATTGACATTCAGCGAAACTTAGTGATAACAACAACAAAGATGAAGACAACAGACCGCGTGTAAAAAGTCTATCTATCTATCTATCTATCTATCTATCTATCTATCTATCTATCTATCTCAATTTGTGCAGATCTATCTATTTCAGTCTGTTCATATCTCTCTATCTCAGTTTGTGCATATCTATTTCAGTCTGTTCATATCTATCTATCTATCTATCTATCTATCTATCTATCTATCTATCTAATTCTGTTTCCTATCTATCTATCTATCTTGAATGTAACACCACAACAAACAGCAAAGTACTCCTCAAATGTCTGGGGGTACGCATACTCACCGGATAATTTCCCCCACCCGGCAACTGTGCAGACTCCGGAGAATGTATCGCTCAAACTGGGAAGCGCAAGTGGCTTAATACATTTTGTGAATGTAACTGGTTTCGAAAGGGTCAACATGGCGACGTCATTAACTGAAAAAAGAACAACAATAACATAATAATTCGCTCTCTTTAAACATATTGTGAGGAAAAGAGTTTTCGTATAACATTCTTAATGGTAATCAATAATGATTATATATATATATATATATATATATATATATATATATATAGTGACACAGCAAATATACAAAAGCACCTATAGAAATTCTTTAAAAATTATCAACTAACTATCACTTTTCTTGATGGGGAAGATTATAGTGATGGCATATGGAGGAGTTTTCTTTATCCTATTATGTCTATATTTAAATTCATTCGGAGTTAGGTTAAAACACCCAGATATTAACTGGTCAATAGTTTCTTTAGCGTTTGCACAAAACCGACAATTTTGATCTGTTCTATTCATTAACATATTTGCCAAGTCAGATCTTGTCGATATGCTTTTATCTTGAGCGGCGAAAATGAACCCCTTTGTTTCTAGTAGCAAGACTGAGTCTACAATTACTGATGGCTCATATTTTTGTCGACATCTGAGTCTTGTGCTTGCCATGTGTTTTTGTCTTGTTAAGGTTTTTTTTTTCTACCCATCTGCTTTTCAGGTTAGTTATTTTTGTTTATATTTCTGAGATGAAGTATTGTAATTATTTACATTATTTACATTGTTCGGATTGTCGTCTTCATCTTCATTGCCATATTCACAACGTTTCGGCCATCGTACGCTCAGGCCTTATTCAGGATCTGTCTATAATTTCTGAGATGAGGTATTGTAATTATTTACATTATTAACATTGTTCGGACTTTTTATCTTTATTGCCATGTTCACGACGTCTCGGCGGTTGTACGCCTCGCCCTTCTCCATTTGACTGAAATTTCGAGCTGAACACATTCTTTCGTCCGCCGGAGTAGATTGTTCTAGTTCCACGTGCCATGTCTCTTCCGGACGTCTCAGTTATCTTTCTTTAACTCAACTCTCCTAGTTTTTGTTCACCACTGCTGTAGCCAGGTATTGAACGCGCAACTCATTGGGTCAAGTCACTGGATCCAACCAACGCTTTTATCCACTGGGCCATAGTGGATGAAATGAAAGGTTCAGTTCGAAATTCCGATCACCTGAAGAAGGCCGGAGCGTACAATGGCCGAAACGTTGTGAACATGACAATAAAGATGAGGACAACATTGAGAACAATTAGTTATTTTTTCTTGATTTTTGGAGTCTGATTTTTTAAATATTTCACCACTTTTTATTTTTATTATTATTATTATTATTACTATTATTATTTATTGAGTAACGGAGGAAAATACGCCAACAAAGTGATGCTGGAAGACCAATGTACTCATCATGTCAACTAGTCTGATAATTGTATATCAGACACATGCATAACAGCCAAATGCCCACGATATGGGAACCTATTTTAATAAAAGCAGCATGTGATGCCCAACGACAAATACATTCATACCCCAGTCCGTCTAGACTGTCAGGGATTGAGGATATTCCTAAGTATTCAGATTTGGCTCCCAAGTCGTCTTGGCTGTCTCATCCTTTAAAACAACAAAACAAAACAAAAAAAAAACTCTCTGCCTACTCGTGAACGCATTATTATTCTTATTAAATGTATTCTTGATGGTTGAACTTCTAAATTACTTACAGATGGTGCCACCCGCGCGCAGGTATTGCGGGTGGGAAGTCCATTTACTGACTTTAATACTCGTGGTTGGTCGCCTCTTGTCGATGGAACCAAAATGCGCGGTGATTCCATTCAGCTTCCCACTGGAACAGAAACGCGGCGTATGTATGTTTAACGTATGTTTAACGTATGTTTATCTAAAACCAAACGGTGTTTACATAAAAACGTTCCCCAATCAATTTGCGGACCACCGGCAAACCTAATGTCTACCAGAAACACACCCGCACTCACCCCCCACACATACTTCGGAACGCCACGAATTATACTAAAGTTGTTTAACAAGTCAAATGCACGTGAAGCTTGATTAACCAATGAAACTGAAACAACACGAAAATAAAAATAATAATTTTCTTTCTTCTTTTTCCGCACATCTCATTCTCTGTTAAATTGATAAACTCTTTACTATTTGTACTTTATTTTTACTAACCTTATATAATATATATATATATATATATATATATATATATATATATATATATATATATTTGCTTTTTTCTAGGTTGTTGAATGTTATATCCTCAGGTGAACTGGGACTAAAAATGGCGTCTTGTCTCACACCCTAAGCCAATAACAAAGAAAAAAAATGAAAAGAACAATGATTGTTTCTATGTTTACAACAATAGTAGCGTGAGAATTTTACAGATTGGAAAACGTTTGAATGATGAGTGAGGAAAAGATGGTATTGGACGCTATCAAGGCTAGTTGATACGAGGGAAACAGTGAAAACTCAGTTATCGTTTAACAACTTTGTGCGTTTTAATTTTTTATATATATATATATATATATATATATATATATATATATATATATATATATATATATATCTTATTTGTGTAAGAAAGAAGGGCGATTAAAACAAATTTGTTTATGACATACAGTTACCTCTGTACTTTGTAAATGCCCTAAGGGATACTTACCCCAGGCTCATATTCCTCTATTAAACTTCAATGGCTATTAAACATAACCGTGTATGGCATAAGGCTATATCCGGGGGGGGTCGCAACACCGAAGAAAATAACTAAATATTTACCGAGTTTAGCTTTGTACATCCCAAGTCCGAATTGTGGGGTTAAAATGGATAACTATAGAAATGGTGGCCTATAAAATCAGCTTTTGTAGTTCTGGCTTTCTACCCGGGTGGAAAACTGATTCCAGGCACCGGTGGCATTGCGCAAATATTTCACCCACGAGACACACAAGCATGTCGGTCGGTTTTTTTTTTGTTATGGGATCTATTAATTTACTAGTTTAAAAGCCGCTCTATCGTGCGGCATTTAAGCTAGCTTCTGCGGAGAGCTCTTGATTGGGCGTTCGGCTTGTTCAGGAATTTGAGAGTCTCTAAGTTTTTGCATATTCTCAGCAATTGAAGCAATCCCGGCTGCCGTTTGATCTATGTTTTCATTTGCACCGGTCTTTCTTTTTCTTGCTGCAGCCTTGGTTCTTTTGATTTCAATCTGGTCCTCTGTTGGCGGAGATTTCTTTTTGCAAGGCATACTGCTGCCGTATGCGTTAGACAACAATAAACTACAGAAGAACTCAAAATTGATCACTGCATTTAAGTATTGCCTTTATATTTAAGCTTACTTTTTTAAAGTTCAACCATAATTCTTCTGTCGTCTTTAATCTTTAAGATACTTTGATGTATGAAGGTCCTTAATTTCCGTATAAAGAATGACTTTTATTTCATGGGTGACTTTCGCTGAATTTCGCAATTAATTTCGATTATTCCTAAATTTATTTGCAAGTTAGAAAAATTGTTATCGTACAAAAAATCACTTTAAAAATCGCCAAAAACAATCGCAATAAAAAAAAAACCTGGGAATCCAAAATTTCAGAATTGCAGGTCCGGCTCTGGCCCTGAATGATTTTAATTTCTTCACGAAGTCGGCCTTATTGCAAAATGGTATGTGTTGGGCCTGTAGGAGTAAAGTTGAAAAAGTGTGACACACTGACTTACGCATTTATTATATAGAAGAGGATATATTCAAAAGTTGGAAAGTTGTGTCCCTTTATTTGAAAAATATGACTTACAGAGATTTTCGCATTTATTATATAGAAGATAAAGCTATTGAAAGTCAGAGAGTTGTATCCCTTTAATTGAAAAAGTGTACACATATTTTCGCATTTATTATATAGATTTACATGTTTAATTTATTATTTTGTAGATTTCACATAATTAATATTTCAAAATAAAATTTTTTTGTTTATTTTAGTTTAGTGGCATTATAACCTCTTTGGGTAATTTAATGCCGAAATCTAAATATCTTGGACGCAATTTTATTTATTTATTTTGAGGATGATAATAGTCGTTGTGATACAAGTCTTACTAATTAACCCATAGCTTGGAGGAGAAGAGGTGAATTCATACCTTTCACAGAAGCATATACGCGTCAGTGAACATAACGAATTCAACTGCAATTGGAAGTCGGTTTAATTTTAAGCCATTATCCATTGCACCACCCGCACATCTAAGCATACAGCACCTGGTATTCCCGAGCGGTCACCCATCTAGGTACTGAGCAGGCTCGATATTGCTTAACTTTGGTGATCGTACATGAACCAGTTTTTGAATATGATGTAGCCGTAAACCTAAAATTCAATCTGTAAGTACATACACAAACACACACACACACACACACACACACACACACACACACTCTCTCTCTCTCACACACACACACACACACACACACACATATATATATATATATATATATATATTACACACATATAATATATACCGGGTGTAACAGCAAAATTGTTCAAATCGTGTAAAACCAAAATTGTCCATTTGTTAGATGAAGCTCTGAACCGTGGTATCTTAGAAATGATTAAAGATATTTTACTGGAATTCTCCGAGGTTTTTATAACACTATGGTACTATACTTTGAGCAATAAGAATGTATAATTACTCTCTAAGCTTAACAGAAGAATCATTAATTATCATAGCTAAGGATGAGAAGCTCATGATGGATTGAAATAAATATATATATATATATATATATATATATATATATATATATATATATATATATATATATTTGTGTGTGTGTGTGTGTGTGTGTGTATTATTCCAGTATCATTTTCCAACTTATTCAAGATGATCTTCGTCCTCTCTAACCTTCTAACTTTCTGTCCTGGAATGACAAGTTGCCTCACACGTTTAACGTACGATTACATTTTTATGTCTTTTTACTGCTCTTTGGACTGTCATAGCTAAAATCCCCCTCTCACGTGCCAAACATCTTATGGATTGAATTGGATTTCTACTAATTGATCTCTTTAGCTTTAAAGTGAAATGATAATCCCTCTTTCTGTTGTAACCTCCTGATCCAGTTTTCCTGTCTACTGTTCTATCTTTCTTAAACTTATTCACCGTTCTCTTGATCGTTCTTGAATGGACTTTGAAGATGGAAGCCAGAGTATGAATATTGGTACTATTACTGAAGGTCTGAATGATCTTTTTCCTCTCACTGTTGCTCATTTAAGAAGAGATAGTGGGGATGTAACGAAACGATTTTAGCCTGTTTTCTTTTGTAGCTGAATAACTTAAAGGGTTTTTTCAGTGATTCTTACGATAAATGGTGTCAAGATGGCAAAATGTCTTATATGAAAACCTCAAAAAAAGAAACTCAATTAGTTTAGTTTTTTTTGTTTTTGTTTTTAGATATTAAACATTTTGTGGGCTGGACAATTATTGCCTTCTGTTACACAATTAATCTGAATATGAAGTGATTTCTCCTACACTCAGAACTTGAATACTCGACAGGAATCGAACCTGTATCCTATCCTTTACTGCATTTCTGGATTTTTATTGAGGTGATCTGTTTGGTTTGTTGTATTCCCTCCTGGAATTCTCTATGTCCGCAAGGGTCTTCTTGGCCAGACAATGATTCTTCTCGTCTTGAAGGCATTTAGCTGCACCACAGAAAGGCAAGATTTGACACGAGATGTCAAAGGTGATGCGAAGATACCATCCATAATCTGTTCTTGGCCTGTTCCCAGCTATGTTTAGTAAAGATGAAGCCTTTATCACTGGAGATGCAAATGTACACTCCCCGGTGTGATCTTGTATCATACGAACTGAAAACTATTAAATATGATGTCTTTAATACTGGAGATATTAATATATCTACCCTAACCTAGCTGTGTCCGATAGCAAGCGAAAATTAGATATGTAGTCTTTATGACTGCGAATATTCTCTTCTCAATCTGGCCTTGTTCCATCGGGTGGCATTTAAGCTAGCTCTTGCTGAGAACTCTTAATTGGGTCTTCATCACAATAGGCAGGGAGGAGTAGATGCGATGGGCAACATTTAACTACAGAAGAACTCAAAATTGATCGCTGCCTTTAAATATTGCATTAATATTTAAGCTTACTTTTTAAAAGTTCAATGATAATTCTTCTGCCGACACTTAGACAATTTAGAGACAATTTGATGTACGTAGGTCCTTACTTTCCATACAGACAATTATTCTTATTTCATGGTTTGACTTACGCTGGATTTCGCAATTAATTTCAATTATTCCGAAATTTATTTCCAATTTAAAAAAAAAAAAATAAACTGTTATCGTACAAAAAAATTCGTCGCAAAAAATCACGTAAGAAATCGCCAAAAACAATCACAGTAATGAAAAGTTGGGAATCCAAAATTTCAGGGTTGGGGGTCTGGATCCGAGCCGGAATGTTTTCAATTTGATCACAGTGTCGGCCTGATTACAAAATGGTATGTTTTGTTGGGCTATGGCCTCTAGAGATAAAGTTGAAAAGTTTGACACACTGACATTCTCATTTATTATATAAATGGAGTTTTTATTATTATGGGTATTATACCCTACCTAACTTGACCTTGTGTCATACCAAACTAAAATTATGGCGTCTTTATTACTTGAGATATAAACCTACCCTCCATAAAATAGATTTGTGCCATATCAGGTTAAAACCAATAAATATCGATATATATATATACATACACACACACACACACACACATATATATATATATATATATATATATATATATATATATATATATATATATATATATACCCGTATTTGGCCTTTGTAGAACTAAACCTAAGTAAATACATTCCGTGTTATTTGACATTAAAATATATCCTATGATTCCAATATTTCTTTAAGTTTATACATTTACAATTTCCTGAATCTTAAAAGCCCTTCACAGCAGCAATTTTCTCTCCAGAATGAAAATATAAACTTCACACATTATGAAATGGACAAAGACCGACAATTATTTTAAGACATTTTTATGTTTATACGTTCTTCTTTTACAGATACAAATATTTAAGTAAATGCTCTGTTTATAATAAACAGTATTAACGACATTTACCGGCCTGAATGTCCGAGAAATTTTCATAGAAAATATTCGTCCTCCGACAGGAATCGAACCTGTATCCTATAGGGAACCGCCTGACGTGCTTTTACCGATTGAGCCACAGAGGAGCAATGCCGATTTTACTGTTTTTAAACTAAAGTTCTCCATGATTTTCTCTCGTACATTTATATCTGCTCCATGCGTATCCAAATGTAAACAAATGACGTCACACATTATAAAATGGACAAAGTTCTACAATTATTTTAAGACATTTTTTATGTTTAAATATTTGTATCTATAAAAAAAAGAACATATAAACATAAAAAAAAATGTCTCAAAGCATAAACATATATATCAGATGGGACCCAATATCGATAAGCAAAAATTGCCCGCCCCCGCAGAAAGTACAATTCCTTTTGTTACCTGAGACAGTGGGCGGCAGTGAGAACGTGTTTATTGTCCAACAGTGTTGCCCCACACCATGACTGACTGTCTTGAAAAAAGGTCTCAATAAGAACCATATAAGGAAATTCACAATGGGCTGCATCGTCTCCGCTGACCACCTGCTTTTTGGCTGAAAATAAAGGGCAAAAATAATTTTACTATACAGTAAAACCTCGAATTAACGGTCCCCGGAACCAACGGACTCCGGATTTAACTTTAAAACTTTTCAAACTTTATTTAAAGGTATATACAGTTGCGTATCTAGGGGGCGCGGTGAGTTTCAGAAAAGAAAAGAAAAAAAACAATAGCATAATTTCAATAATTTTTAAAAAAAAAAAAGCAGCAATAAGGAAGAAGACAGAGTTCAAATGAAGCCAATATGTCTTTGATATGGCTTTCTGACCATGAGAACATTATTCAAATCTCACCATGGTCGATGTGATTACTTGATGTTATCGACGGAGGCGACCCCAGCGAGCAGTATTTTTCGAAGGTGTCTGAAAACCATACCACACTTTGACCCAAGGCTTGTGAGTGAAAATTGGGAAGACGGAACCCTTGCTAGCACGATGTGACAAGTCATCGTAACAGAGGTTTTGAGCGTACTGGCCTTGTTCAGATTGTTGATTACGCTAGATAACACGTTTCTCTCCCAGAAACTTCAACTAAGGTCTGCTCAGCATAGTTGCAATATAAACCATAGGTGGGCTCTGTGGGTATTGAACAAACACAAAATGCGCCTGAATACGAGTGGCCAGCCATTAACGTTTATATTATAATCAGTTTTCATTTTCGATGTTTAAGTAACGTAGTAAAAATCTTTTCTTGTCTGCATTTTGAAATGAGTTCTGATCGTTTATTTATTAATTTGTGTTGGCCAGGAAGGTGATTATAGTTATTTTCTCCTCCAGGCAAAGTTTACAGTTTTGGGATTTATGGTTGTAGGCTGATACGGTTTTCCTTATTTCCATGATATTTTTAGTGTAATTTCGTTTTTAATTTCCCATATTTGTTTAGAAAGGGCCGCGCTTTTCGCGTATTTACTATGATTTTGTGTGTGCGCAGTTTCTCTGTTTCCAGGTTACTTCAGTTACTCCTATGTATATTTTTTCTTACCTGCTGGTTTTACAGTAGCTTGGTATATTATGTCGTTTTGTAAGTAATTGCTATTTAAGGAGCATTCGTTCTTTGCCCTGCGGTTACAGGTGAGTTAAATTTGTGCGAGCAGCCTGTTGGTTAATTTTCTATTGTGTTTTTTTTTTATTATTATTATTTGTCTCATGTTATCGGTGAAACTGTATCTTATTTTTATATTTCATATTTACACATGCTCTATCCCCGATATTGAGCACTTTTACCCATGAATATAGCATAACTTAAAACTATATTATTATCATATATGTGTGTTTTGTGTGTGTAAAACTTGAGATTTAACTAAAATCTGTAAAAGAACAATATGAATAAAGACAAAAGGAAAACTCGGACAGTTTTCTTTCGAATACATTGGGGAAACAGAAAAAAGCAAAAGACGTAACTATGAACACAAAAGGGATCTTATACACAACAATTTATCAAACGCATCAGTTTTACGAAGAAATAAATTAATCCACGTCTTATTAAAAGAGAAATTAACTTATTTAGACGGAAAGGTTTTGAGAGTGTTGCTACCGAATCTTACTAAAATATAAATCTGCGCCCGGGTTTTTTCAAATCTCTCCATTGTTGAAAGAATTACCTTTTTCCTAAGCAAACATACGTGTCCATAAAAATGTTAAAAAATTAAAAGAAAACGCTTAGATCAAAA